TTTTCAACACATTGTTGAATTCTAGGGAATTATATGCTCACATTTCTTGTTTGGCTTTGATAAATTTAATTAGCATAAAGTTAAATTTTTTGTCTAGGATTCCACCGCTGTACTTGCCCAATATATGATTATTATTGAGATAGCACCCATGTATGTTGTGCAACCTTTTCTTCATATACATATTTAGCTGTCAAATTCAATATGAGAACTCTCACGTGAGACATGACTTCATGGAACTTAATCCGATTTGTGCATTAATAAGGACATCATGTGCTAATAAATCCTATGCTCTTCTGAAATTCTGCTAACTAAATTATCTGCAAAGCTATCTTCTTGATGTCTCAAATTGTTTTCATCTGTGTGATGACGTTATTTATTTTTGTTTGATAAATATGGGGCCATTTTCCAATTCTTGAAGCAGGTCACCATACATTAGTGAGGCCATATTATGTCAAGAATTTTTTGTTCGTCCCTTCCAGGAACCAAGTAATCTAACCTGGGTATGCCTTTCTAGGGCATTGATCCGCTAAAAAAATGAACTCATTAAAAGTCTCGTATATTTGTTGCACAAGGCTGTTTTCTACTTATCTGACATGCCAGATCTTGACTTTACGCAGCGCCTTTGTAACATGGATATTGTGATGCAGGTTATATTGAATGACCCATTCCTCGGTAAACGAGTGGAGGGGAGCTTTACAACCGTGCCATTAAGAGATGAGTTCCTAGAAAATGCTCGCCTTTTTATGTTTGAAACCTATTGCCGTATTCATCAGCGTATCGACATGGGGTACGTGCTTTAAGTTGTTCATTACATAAGTTGATATAGCCCGATCCTCATGTTTTTTGTCACTGCTTTTGGTTAATATGTTCGGTTATGTAGCCAAGATGCATTGCCATACAAAACTATGGGGTTTATTATACCAATCTTCTTAACTTCATTTTAAATAATTATACACAATCATTTTAAGTTAACATTTCGGGGTTTACTTAACAGAGTGCTTGCTGAGAAACTGAATTTGAATTATGACGAGGCAGAAAGATGGATTGTAGATCTTATCAGGACCTTAAAACTTGATGCCAAGATCGATTCTCAGACGGGAACTATTGTGATGGAACCCAATCACCTCAATGTGTAAGTTCTACAATTTCGCCTCTTGATGCATGACTGTTCTGACTTTTCTTTAAACGTATATTTCCAACTTTGATGTGGAATTTTGTTTTTATTTCTACCGAGCAAATTTTTCAACTTCGTATTTTCATATCTTTGATTTTCTTTTATTTGAGAAAAACACTTCTTCCTTTTCAGTTACGAGCAGCTCATTGACCACACCAAGGCCCTTTCTGGACGCACTCATAAGTTAGTCACACAGCTTTTGGAACATGCTCAACAATCACAGCCTGCTCGATAGATTTGATACTGAAATTGCTTTCACATTTT